CTCAAACATATCTGTAAAAAATTAATCGTAAATATAAATGATACGCGAAGTTTTCTTTTTTGGAATTTTAACATTTTCCAGATTATGAATTTTCACTTAAAAAATATAATGTGCAATTCACCTTCCCTTATCCAAACTATTATTAGAATTACTACTGATTGATTTGGAAAATTTTGCTGTATTTTTGGCTGAAGCATTAACTGGAATTACTTATTTTAATGGACAGTGGACATTTTGGAATAATTTATAAGCAAGCTGAAGTCTGTCATCATATGCAAATTTTGCTAATTCAATTTCTAAGCTTATACAGCTAACTAACTTACTGCTGGAGTTAAATTGATAAATTCCGTCACTTAAAATCAATTCTTTCACTCAATTTTTGTTTCCTCCTCCTCAGTATGTTTATATTGAAATGAATAATTTTGGAAACATCAACTAAAGAAAGTTAATCGCCTTAATTGGCTTAATTAACGATCTTTTGTAAAATTTAAATATTCGCTAGACATTAATCCAATCATAACAAATCATCGGGATTATATACTAAAAAATGGGTGCTTCTCTAACATCACCCTTACCACATCGACCACCAACTAGCGTTTGCAATCATCTATTCGTCGCATCGGATGCACCACCAATTTTTCGGCATCATCCGTTAACAGCGGTTCAAAACAAGAAACAATCGGTATTTACAGCAGGATGGAATTGGTCTAAGAAAGCTGCGCAACAGGTTAACATGCCTTTTTTTTTGTTTTCTTTTTTTTTTTTCACGATTTCGAGATTTTTAACAGTAAGTAGATGAATGTGCTAAGAATAAACGTAATGTAAAATTTTTGCGCTTTCAAACAAATACAACAAAATATTACCTTCATTATCACAAGAATATTTATTAATACACCTGAATAAAATAAATAATTCATTTAATATATTTGCTAGATGAAAGTTTACATTCCAATTACCTCATATTAAACATTTAAAAATTAAAAAGATCCAGAAATTGCATAAATTTAGACCAATTTTTCTTTTTTATTTCCTTTTACTTTAGAAATATTATTCTGAATGTTTCTTTAACTATTAACTATTAATTGTTTTAATAAACTACACGTATGGAACGTACGTGTTATTAGGTCAAAAAAAAAAATACTTGTGTTTTAGAAATTATCCCATTTTGTAGTGCTGATAGCAACAGGGAAGAAAAAAAAAGGAGTGAATTATGTTTGATTTAATAAATTTAGTAGTAATTAAGTAATAAACAAAAGTAAATTTGACAAAATTAATAATGATAGCACAATCTAGATTGAAATGAATAAAGTGTTTCGTACGGTTTGTAAAATTGAATAAATTCACAAAATGTTAATATAAATTAATCAATTAATCAATGTATTGATTAATAGAAAGATAACCGAGGGAGAGAGAGAGAGAGAGAGAGAATGTTCTTTTTTTTATTGAAATGTGTTCAATGATGATTTTAATGAATTAAAAAAAAAATTAAATTTTTGCAAAATAGAATAAAATTAATAAAGCAATCATTTATAATGCAACAATTCCTTAATTCATTATATTTTCACATTAATGTTCTTTCATTCCATTCTTTTTTCCGTCTCTTATTTTCTTTCCTCATTTCATTACAATCATTGGAAATTACTGGACAGGAAAGAGAGGGGAAAAAAAAAATTAAATTGAAGAGAATGCTGTCTGCGCTTCTGAGCAGTGTCTGGAAAAATATAAAGAGCCTGAAGAAATGAAGGAAAAAAAGATTTTAAATGATAAAATGAGCCAGTGAAGCCCAGCGGTAGGAGAAGGATAATGGTTTCTATGAAGCTATTTGAGTGTTTGCATATAAATACATATATGTATATATATATACTTAGATCGCCTATTTTTTTCTTTTAGATAGGTCTGTTTTTTTTGTGTATTATGTGCATGTATGCATATGTATGTGTATGTGTGTATGTGTATGTCTATGTGTATGTGTATGTGTATTTAGATTTGTATGTTTAAATAGGCCTGTTTTTTTTTTTTTTTCGTCTCTTCCATTTTCCTCTCTTTTGCCTCATTTCCAAAATGGAAAGAAAAAGGCCAGCTAGAAAAATTAATTAATGGAATGAATGGAATCACTTCAAAATTCACCCTTAAGGCTTTTCCAATTCATTTTAGAAACGTTGCTTTTTCCTCGAATTAGTTCTGTTGAATTGACAAATAAGTGTTTCCTACAATAGATAAATATTTCGTTAAAATTTTTTACTTACAAAAATTCTCAAATGTAATATTTCTCTCGTTACAATAACAATTATTTTTTTATCTCTCAAATTTTTGAAATAAATGAGTAACTTTAGTTATTTTATTTTCATCATTTTTGAATTGCATTATTTTATTCCAAAATTGTTAATTAAGTTTTATAATTGAAGACGAATAAATTTATGATTTCAACATTCTTTTAATGCCTAAATCATTTATAGGATTACT